TTGCTCTATTTTTTAATGTTCCTTCTTTAAAAAGCAGTGACACACTTGCAGCTGTTTCCCCTAAATATGTGTTTTTGCTCATGCGTATTTTTGAATGTGTTTTGTATTCTAATGTATTTTTTAAAAGAGCGGCTGCAAACCTTTTTGAGCGTGTAATTTAAACCAAATGTATGCGTCTTAAGTTAATTTCAGCTTTATCTGTAGGCTACTGTTATCAAGAAGATCAAGACACCTTCATCTTCAATTAATTTTCGATTCCGATTTCTTCTTCTTCTTCTTCTTCTTCTTCTTCTTCTTTTAATTAAAAGTACCTGCTCATTTCCACAAATGATACTGAAACTACTGACCACGTGTAATGGTCGATATTAATATCAAAACCACAAGAGCAAATATTCTGGATGCCTGTGCTGGGGTTTATTTTATGCAGCAGCCTAGTTCTGTTAATGTGGGTTTGGTTATTAATGGGTTCTAATTGCTCAATCTCGACTAATCGGCTGCAGTATGAACGAACACTTAAAGGTTCTTCATTTGATGTGATTCATTTGACACGCGGTGCTGAAACAAGGCTGTGATCAGTTCACATTGTAAACGCTTTTCTGGTGCTGAATCTGATCAGATCTCCCGTGAAACCTCTGAGATGCTGGTGCAGTCGAAGTCCACCACGCTCTATAAGAGTCCTTCTCTCAGCATCCTCTTATGTTTGCACAACTTGTTATTTTCCCCTGTTGCCCATTCCATGAATGGCAATTTTTAATAAATATAAATGTAAAATAATTTTATATTGTAGATGTGTAGATTTTGTATAACAACTTTCGAGAAATTTTTGATGAAATAATGAATAGGCTAATACAACAGCAACGACAAATACGTTGTTGTTATTAATGTTATATTTATATTTATAGGCCTATTTATATTTATTTATATTATTATTATTATTAATTATAATAATTGTAATTTTAAAACGAATAAAACTGAAAATTAAAGATTTTCTGCAATAACGATTTTCTGAAAACGCCAGTCTTATTTAGCAGCAGATTACTTTAATCGCCACATCAAAACATAAAACACTGTAATTGGATCAGTTCTTTACTCTTAAATGATGCATTTTGATATTTTAAGGTCTTGACGGATGAAATGAAAGGCGCAAAAACTAAAAATTTTCGGGGTTGCGGGTGCGACATGGGTGTTAGACATAGACTTATAGTGAAAGTAATTGTTAATATTAAAGCTAAAACAGCCATAAAAGAGCTGCCCAACTGTGTTCGATTTGTTGCTTTAACAAAGCAGCTGCTTTAATTTAATTTAATTTAATTTAATTTATTAAACATGTATAATGTTCTCTTATATTTTGAGATCTGAAAACTAAACGCGGGAGGAAAAAAAAACAGAACATTTTTACACCTACAATTAGGCTAGTTATATGCGGTCTATGGGTGCTCCAATTTTTTGTATATATATATATATATCTTATTACAATACCAATATATATTATATATCTTCCCGAATGAAACAAATATATGAACTAATAAGGTCCCTTTCAGACTTTGGCAAAAGAACGACATTTATTACATTTTTCTACTTTCTTTTTCTTCTTAAGGACTTTTTTAGACTTCAATTCTGCGGACTTCTGATTATGTGCGTTAGTGGTGTATCCGTGCATATATTTTTATGTTATTTCTTCTTCTTCTTCTTCTACTTCTACTTCTACTTCTTCTTCTTCTTCTTCTTCTTCTTCTTCTTCTTCTTCTTCTTATCTCTGTCGCTCCCTCTCCTTCTTTTTGATCAGGTGTATGTTTGAGTATGTGTACAGGAGTGTGTGTAGCCGACATGTGATTATAGTGAAGTGTCTGTTTTCTCTTTTTTTTTTCCCCTCTGTGTGCTGCATGTGTGTGTGGGTGCGAGATGAAACGACTCTTGGCTGGCCTTGGTTGAGAGAAAGAGAAGGGTGGAGTGGAGGAGAGGAGAGGAGTGTGAAAGAGGATATGTGGTTAGGGAGACACCCACCACCTTTTCTCGGCAGATAGAGCAGAGCCCAGGGCAGTGCCAATACCATTGGTGCAGCTAGTGCTGACTAAGATGGAGCAGCCACAGGAAGCGTGACTGTTTCAACCTTTGGTGGCAGGAAGGTGCCTGTCACAGGGTCATTGTCAAAACTGAGGCAAATTAGATCTGCAGCTAAAATGAGCAAACCAGTTGTCACTGGTTTGAGCATATGTTAGAAAATAAATAAATACAGTATTTTTTAAAGTAAAACAGCAACTACAGGGAAAGTTAAATTTCAATTTTTGTTTGTGGACAGCTCTGCGAATTATTGCGCCACTGTACAGAAGAGAGGCTGCTGGTTCAGAGGTCTTTGTGCTGAACGGATCTGGCTCCTGCTGTTAACTACTGACCCTGTTAAGTAATGGACTCAGTTGAGGGGAGTAATCTCACCTGGCTCAGGGATGCTTTCTTTCCTAATTCCTCTCGCTTTCCCTGACAGACAGCCTCTTAATGTTTTCAAGGAGAAACTGGAATGTGGAGGAAGCAGAGAGGGCGGGGAGAGGATCAGAGAGAAAGTGGTAAACTTTTTTTCACTGTTTTTGTGGTAACGCGAGAGTGCTTGCTGGCGTGTTTTATTGTGAAAGTCAAGAGTTACAAAAAGGTGCATGTAGAGGTGATGAGAAGACGAGAGAGAAAAGGGCGAGATATGTTTGGCGACTGGATACGAGAGTTCTGTACTTTTTGAGTGTGTGTGAACGTGTGTTTATTATGTCCGTACATAAGCGATACATGCCAACTATTGTGCTGCCTACACCTCTGCCTACATCTCTGTTGAGGCGATTTGTCGGAGTTATTATTGTTTCTGCCCTAAAAAAACAAACAAACAAACAAACAACAACAAAAAAAAACCTATTCAGTATTTCTCATTCCATTTAAGTGATTACATAATTAGTGTATTAATCAATATGCTACAGTTATGGCTTTTAATAAACATGTTGTTTATAGTGGCTTCTGTGTTAAATTAGTTTTAATATTCATGATTTAATTCCCTCAATTTCACTGTTTACAAAGCAATGTTAGAATATTAAGCTAAAATGCTCTTGAGAAATATCACTATACTCTGTTATTGTGTTTTGAACATTCTTCACAAAAAAAAAATATTTCTTAAAATTAATGTCTGATATTTTATAACCTCAAACCCCGATTTTTAGTGGTCTTTTAATTTGTCCTCAAATTGCGTTCTTTTTCTTGCTTTCTTTTTCTTTCTTTCTTTTTTTTAAATTGTGTTAATCTTCAATATTTCAAAGCGAAGAGAGGGAGTGCAAGATGAAGAGAGGGAGTGAGTGAAAGTATGGGACATAAGCAGGTTGTTT